TGTCCCCGTTTTGCTTCCTCAGTGCCTTCAGGACGTCCTCATCGCTGTTAAGCAGGAGGACGTCCTTCATCACGAGGAGCGGGTCCTTATTCTTCATGTCCTCCGCGATGAGGAGGCCTCCCGTACCTTCGATCCTCTCTTTAACCTTCTTTCTTTCTTCTTCCGTCGCACAGCCCATTATAATCTTTTGATTCTTTGCCTTTCTTATTTTATCGACTTTAACCCAGCCCTCCTTGGCGTTGACGGCGTCCCTGACTCTCCGCAGCACCTCCTCTCCTGTCTCCATTGCGTCCTTAGACGAGACGACAATGGAGTGCAGGGCCGACCTGGTCGGCTGCTGGACAGTCCGGGCCGCCGCCACGCTGGCGTAGGTTGTCGTGTTGGCTGTGTCCTGCTGTTTAACTACCTGCTCCTTTATGTCATCCAGTTTCCTACTATTTTCCAGCAAAAGTCTCCTATTCTCCCTTATTTCCTCCACTATCCTGTCCTGATCCACTCTCTCTTNGCTCCAAATCAGCAACGTCAGGAGAGTAGGGAACGCGGGCGTGGTGTTCCAGACCACTTGCCGTTAAGCCGCAAACAGATTCAGGGCAGCGATTCCGGAGTCCCTGAGGGTCACGGAGCCAAAGCAGCGTCTGCCGCTGGTCTCCTTCCGGAACATCAGCGGCGACATCGACTCGGGCGAGTTCATGGACGTCCTGCACGAGCAGAACTTCGAGGGGGACAGCAACTGGCCTTTGGCCAGATTGAAGAAGGAGGGACGCGTCGCATTCAAGCGCAGCAGGCGCCTCAGCGGGGACACTATGGTAGTACTAGAGTGCTCCCCCGCTCTGAGGGCTCGACTCTTAGAGCTAGGGACGGCGTACCTCATATGGGTCGTATGCAGGATCTCGGACTTCTTGCAGTCCACCTGCTGCTCGAAGTGCCAACTATACGGGCACCCTGAGCGATACTGCCGTTCAACCGTCGCTTACTGCGGTAAGTGTTGTAGCACGGAACACCGCACCAAGGACTGCAAGACCGCCACACCGATCTGCGCCACGTGTTCGCGCTTTAAAAAGCCAGGAGCGGACACCCACACCACGGCATCGCAACACTGCCCGGCAAGGGCTTACGCTGAGGGAAGGTTGGTGGCAGCTACCAACTACATTCCAGCCTAGGCCACTCCGAGTGGGACAGCTCAACCTGGCGGGCGCGGCGCTCGCCACGGAGGAACTGCCGGCGCTGGCGCGTGAGCTGGGACTCAACATTGTTCTAGTCCAAGAACAATACTCGAGGTCCCAGTTTATCGTCCAGTCCGGCCCCACCTCCCAAGCGGGAGTCTTCGTCCGCCAGCCAGACCTAGCTGTCGCAGCCCTACATTACCTCTCCACTGAGGACTGCTTTGTTGTACATGTCCAGGCGCATAACATCTACCTGATCTCCGCCAACTTTAAATACGGAGATGAGATTGACCCACACCTCGAGCACTTGGAGCGTGTACTCGATCAACTACGAGGGAAGGAGATATTAATCGGCGTCGACTGTAACGCACACTCGCCTCTGTGGCACTGCACAGAACAACAGTCGAGGGGACGCGGCCGGACCGAAGATCACAGGCGAGCGGCGGTTGAGGATTTTATCCTAGGCCGCAGCCTTGACCTCCATAACACGGAGGACCAGCCGCCCACCTTTTCCACTGCGAATGGAGAGTCGAACGTCGACATCACCCAGTCCACGCGCGGCGTTAAAGTCCAGGACTGGACAGTCCACGAAGAGGCCAGCACTTCGGACCACCGCCTTATCTCCTTTGTGGTCAGGCCACTTAACTACCGAAGTTGTACGCAGCGCGAGCTCAGTGAGCACATTGAGGAGCCTCTGGGGTTTCGGGATCGGGGTGTTAGGTGGGACCGTTTCCGGGACGACATCCATGCGCGCATGGGGGGGCTCACCTTCGACAATCCCGCTCATGTGGTAAGCAGGGATTTCACTAACGTGATTATCCAATCTGCTCAACAAACCCTCGGTCCAAAGAGGAAGACCCGTGACGCGGGATACGAATGGTGGACCAGTGAGTTGGAGCAGTTGCGTAGGAGTTGTGGCGCTTCACGCCGGAGATGGCAGCGATCGCGAAAGCGAGGCGGTGTCGAGGACCCCGCGCTTGCTCTCCGCTGACTGCTGACGCGGCCTGGCCCCCCCCCCGCGCGTACCCCGCAACCCGCGCGTGCTCTCCGCTGACTGCTGACGCGGCCGCCTGGCCCCCCCCGCGCAAGAGGTCGCGCGTGTCGGCGTCTTCCTGGGGCATTCGATATCATGGCCTACGTATCTTGTACCAAGGCACTTTCGTTGCAACCCTTACGTATGCATCGGCTTGCTGGCACGAGCGCCTTCGGGTGCAATCCGTATGCGGCACCCTTCTCCGGGGGCAGCGGCCTGCACTGGTGCTACTGACCAAAGCCTATCGGTCGGTCAGCACAGCCGCGCTCCCGGTGCTTGCCGGCGTACTACCCGCGGACCTCGAGGTGATCCGGGGTGGCAGCACGGAGGTGGCACGCCAGACCGCGGCCAGGGACGAGATGAGCAGGCGAAAACGCGAAATTTTGGAGTCAGTTGTGCATACTTGGCAGACCAGGTGGGAGGGAGAGACGAAGGGTCGGGAGCTCAACCAGTTTTTCCCCGACGTGTCTGGGAGACTCAGCATGCGCTGAGTCGAACCAGATTATGTGACTTCCCAGGTTCTTACGGGGCACGATTGCTTTAAGAAGCGGCTGTGCAATATGGGGTTGAGGGACAGTGCGAGCTGCGAGTGCGGAGAGCTCGAGGAGGACCGTCACCACATATTGTGGGATTGTCCCCTATATAGGGACATACGCGAGGAGCTGCTGCAGGAAGTCGTGCTGGAGACGCACGGCCCCGCTTGGTACCCCGATCTCGTTGCGTCAGAGGCGAACTTCAAACGGCTCAAGGCATTCGCGTACAAGTGGCATGCGAGGAGGACAGCACCGAACAGTTCGGCGCCATAGAGTGCCACCCGTTGCTGTGATAGTTGCCATCCCCAGAACGGGGAGAGTAGCGCATAGGGACAAGGAAATAGATCAAAGAATTTGTAGGGAGTCAAGCGTTGCGCGCGGCAGAGTGCAACCTGCTACGGCAGACGCAGTTCCGCGCGCATCTCCCGCGATTCGGCCAGTTATAACCGCAAGGTTGGCATGCCCATGGGTGGTGGTGGGATGGCCCCCCAGCGCGCGCCGCCGCCGCCCGCGCTGACAGGATTCAATCGATCTGCTTTCTTTTTATGCTACTGATACGCACCAGCATCGCCTTCCCCATGATCTCCTGCTGCCAGAAGCAGACGCCGACACCACCTAGCCTGCTGCGCCTGCGAGCTCCGACTCCACAACGGTTGTCACAGCACCGAGGCCCCGCAACAGGATCGTGACGGCCCAACGCCTGCACCAACCCAACCCAACTCACTGGACTTGACTGATGACTACCTGCCAGCTCCCTGGCATCCAGGAACCGCCCGCTCGCTGGTCGTTCACTGGGCCTCGACCAGTGGTGGTGCCAGGTAGTTAAGCCACAGGTCAGCCCGTCGCCAAAGCGACGTCCCAACCACCGACTGGCAGTAGCCAGCCGAGAAGAAGCACGGACCATGGGCGTCAGCGCGATGCCCGAACCGGCCACTGGCCAGGAGGTCGAAGACCAGGATAGATGTCGAGTCGACGTCGTGACGCACTCTTCCGAATGCACCGGTTAGTACCTATGCTGCTATTAATTCGACGTGATGAGGTGATAAAACGTCGTTTATCGACTACGTCGTCGTTGTGTACATTAATTGCAATCAATCAAAATATTAACAGCGATCGACTGAACCATATTAACGGTTAAGAAACGTAACTTAATTGGTGAAAAAGCAGCAGAAGTCATCTTAGGGAATCTTTGTGAGCGAAATGTACACCGAAAATGTTATATTGTATGCCACTGACGTTTATGACGTTACATCAATGACTGAGACGACAGACTACAACTAGCATTATTTTACTGAGTTCGAAAGATCTTTGACAAAATAGTATAAAGTGATTACTCATATTACAGGTGTTATTGTATACGTTGAGGTATTTTGCAGGTATCATTACTAATAAGTCATAGGCATCTTGTCAAGACCAGTCTGATTTTAGTCTCAAGATTAATCACAGTCACAACTCACAAGTGCATGGTAGGTAGTAATATATGCGTGCCGAGTTGCTCTTAGAAACAAACGTAACAATATTATAGAGGTATTATTAGGGTACAAAGGGTTTTCTCATAACAACTTACTTAAACGCGTTAGTCCTTAATCTATTTAATTGTAGTAAATTTTGCTGTGATAATAATAATGTTAATAAAAATGTAAATAATCGAAAAATATAATCTAAATAAATTTATTTATTACTGACAAGTTTTATATTTTATTATCATCTTAATCTAGTAAATAAAATAACCTTTACACCAATTACCCATTTAATTAAATATAAAAAATATGATACATTCACCTACTGTAGGACTGAATATCTATCAAAGAACTTATTTTTAATTAGGCATCTATTTTATAATGATTAATCAAAATACACCTAAAAATAATTATTTTATTTTATACACATATTTATAAAGAAGAATAAATAATAGCTGTGTGTTATCGGGGAACTATGTACATAAATACAAACGATTTGAGCTACTCCCACGTTTCCTTAATTTCAATTAAATACACCTACTAACATACAAACTGTATAATTATTTAAGTCTGTATTACATTGCACAAATAGGTAATATGGCATTCTAAGAAATAATTTATTATATCTTTCTATATTTATTTATTACACTCAGTCTTACGATTCCTAATGCCTTCACTTACTTATCAGCTACCGTATCACATAGTCACTATCTAATTATTTATTCGATTAGGGAACCATTATGCCGTTGTAATATAAGCAATATATTACAATAATATTAACAAATAAATTGGTCAAATTGTTGGCTCTTACTAAAATATTTTTCGATTGAAATATAGGTACGCTATATTATATTCAAAACACTTGTTTATTACAAGAATCTATAAGGATTTTTAAAATTCCTTTTTAAGTGGACCTTAGAGCCATTTTATTGTTAAGGGATATGACCCCGGAAATAAGTACTTTTCATTCATGATTAAATTATTTACAGTGACATCAATATTACAGCTTGTAAGGTTAAAACATCATGTTTTGAGCCTTGACACCTTAGCAATTCTTACTGTTCATTTGGAATCTTGAGATCATTCAAGTTGCAGAGCATTCAAAAGACAAATAATAACTTTTGTGACAGTGTTAGCTAACAAAATGCTAAATCCGTGTGTGTGCAGGCGCTGTCACTGTTTACTTGTATGACGCAAAATATATTTTTCCTTCTCGTTAAGGAAAAAATACCTACCAGAGACTAATCGGCTAATCATTTACTTCTTCTTTGTAAACTTATTACAAATAACGGCATAGGGCATATCTCTTAATGCTGTCCAGTCAAATAGAACTTAATATTTGGCTTGACCACTAACTATGGTTATTTTATGACTAAATATTTAGTTAAGTACTTGCTTGATCTTGTCTATAATTATTGCACTTAAATTCTCGTACTTTGAGCGCTTCATAAATATAAATTGTACGAGTATAAACTGCAACTTTAGCCAACAGTCTGACATGACGACAACTAGAGGGTAATTCGACGCACGACAGGGTAATGAGCACGACTCGAACGGTCATAAAGTTACTTAAGCACTTTAATCTACTCTATCACTCGACACTCACTATCTCTGATAACGGATAAATAGACATTTTCATGTTTAAGAGTAGGCGCACACCGTTGATTTTTAGTTGGCCGATAGTTGTGCCCGATTGTAATTGTATGAAGAATCGGCCAAATCGAATCGGCGTAGTGTGCGCACTCCCATACATGCCCATACTGATCAACTGCCCGACTAAACTATCAACGATAGTAAGAAACATACAACGGTGTGCGCCTACTCTAACTTTCGGGCATTCGTCGAGTCGCAACAGCCCGGGTTAAGCTCACGCCGATGTCACGTGGCTTGCGCTTCTGTTTTTTCCACGTGTATCGAGTCTGGGTCTCCGTCGGCGGGCGCGGGCGCAACCAGCGGCAGCAGCTCTTGCGCGGCGGGGGAGGGGGCGACGGAGGGGGCGGCGGGGGGCGCGGGGGGCAGCAGGCGGCCGTACACCAGGCGCAGCGCCAGCAGCGCGGCGAAGGTGAGCGCGGCCGTGCTGCCGAAGGTGGCGTCGGGCCCGCGCCGCGCGTACACGCTCGCCACGAACACCGGGCCCAGCGCGCGCGACACGCAGCCCGCGCCCGTCAGCACGCCCATCCACACGCCCTGCCACATCATCCACATCACCAGGGACTCACACACGGCATAATTACAAATGTAATTATGCCGTGTGTGAGTCCCTGGTGACCTGCAATACAGGCTCTTTCAGAACCTACTTCAGGCACCAGTCTTCACAATACGGGTATATGATATGCCAGGCCAAAGCACCGATTAGCATACTAGCAAATAATGTATCACAGAATGACAAACTATCGTATCTTTCCTATGTGCTGTCGTGTGTACCTAATATCTTGTCAAATAATTTATTTTGTTTTATTCAGAAAACAAACAGCTTACAAATATATAAATTGCATAGATACAGTGTAGTTGGTCAAAGATAGTCCTCTATATAACCAAGGGTTATAAAATTTAACAAATTTTAATTATACGTAGAAGCAAAGAGAAAAAAATGGATAGAAAGAAGTTCGAAGAAATTTTACTATAGGTCAGAGTATAGATCTACAATCAGTTTATATAGATATACCCGATTCATGTTATCATAAAACCATCGAAGAATATCGATTGAACACGATAATCCGTCTCTTAATGCCAACTTTAAAACGTTATAGTTACTCGTATCTTGCCATATTTGCGATATCAAGATCTTTACGAGAACGATCAAGTTTTTGTGTCTTTTTGCTTTCTAATGAATTCAGAAAGTCACGGTTGGTGTCTTCATGAAATCTGAGACACAATCACTAAGTAGATAAGATAGATACGTGAAATGCAGCAGAAAATAATATTCTTATTTTTATTATACCTACATAAAATAACCTGTTTTACCAGTAGATTTCGCAATCGCTTAACTCAATTTATTTGCTTTAGATGCGCGTGACAGGCGTGCCTTGTTTGCCAGCACTCCTATTACGAAATTACTTTCTAAAGGTGCCCTACCCAAATTATTTTATCAATGATAGCGATGGATTACTTATTCACGAATGATACACATTTTATTCGATAACAGTTCTTTCAAACTTTCAAAATAAAACTTACCTGAGGCCTCGGTCCGAGAACCTTCGAAAATATCGTTTGTATGAGCGTGACCCCGAGCGAGTAGCCCACGGACACGAGAGCGTAGGCGATGAAGAACTGCGTGATGGTGAGGCCGCGGGAGTCCTGGCACCAGGGCTGCGCCTCCTGCGGGCAGCCGCCGCCCGCCTCGCGCGCGCCCGGCGGCGCCAGCGGCGGCGGGCCCGGGCCCCACGGGATGCACAGCAGCGACGCCAGCCCCGTCAGCAGGAAGCCGCCCCACAGGAGAAGAGCGCTGTAACCAGTGCGCCGGATTTATCAGTTTTCTCACTACGACTACTTTCTCTGTCTTGTCTCTAGGTTGGTCAGAAAAACATTAAAGCAGTTTTTTAGCTTCTCCAGGCGAGCTCGTCCATATCTCAAAAGGGTTATAGCAATTCTTAATTTTATCAACTTGAGCTGCCCGTAACGACTGGAGAGTGGCACTCACCGCTCCTCGAAGAACTTGGTGAGCGGAGATATGAGCGCGAAGGTGACGCACGCCAGCACGGCGCCGGCGCTCATGAGCGCGCCCAGGTACTCCAGCGCCTGCTTCTTGCTCCACGCGAACTGGTCCATGGTGAGGCTGGACGCCAGCGTCTCCAGCAGCACGAAGTTGAACACCAGCACGAAGAACGCACCCACCAGCGTCCAGCTGCTGACCAGGTCGGGCTTCATCGCTTTTAGAGCTTCTTTTTCTGTAATAATAATTGTCACCAGTGGTGTATCCGTGCAAATCAAATGCCTAAATATAAATATCCTGAAAGCTTAAGCCTAATTTCTATTATTCAAAGAATATACTTTCTTGAGAGTTGAAACTGAAATTGGAAACAGAGAAAATAATACATGCCTGAGTTTTTGCCCTGAGCGAGCATCGCTTCCCTGGCCGCTATGGTGCGCTCCTTGAAGCACCACGGCAGAAACAGCACAAAGTTGACGATGCCAAGCACCGCGTTAATCCAGCCCGCCGCCGTGTACATGTCCAGCCGCAGCGCCGCGGGCGCCCCGGGCGGCGCGTACGGGGCCCCGGGGCCCAGCGGCGCCGCGGCCGCCTGCAGCGCCGGGCCCACCACGAAGCCCAGCACCTGCGCCAGCGACACGCTGGCCACGGCGCGCGTGCGCTCGCTCACCAGCGTCGCCGCTGAGAGGTAGGACCGCGCCACGGCTATATTTGCTGTCGGACAATAAGTATTGTCAGGTAAGACGACGAGAAAACACACCTATTTACTAAATCATGAGACTATGTTTATAGCCCACATATATATCACATAGATAGTAAATCGCATCTCCCGCGACAAGCACTTTCAAACGTATGGATTCGCACTTCTCACCAATATTGGAACCATTTAAAAGCCTAGTTTTAAATTTCATTTCATTAAAGGAAAGGTTTTTTTTTTACCCCAAAAATATGTCTTTAGAAGGATCCAGAGTCACTTCTTCAAGAAATAGGTAGTAACGCTTGAGCCAACTTTTATGGCTATAAAACTGTTAAGTTGGGATTAATCGCTATCCATCTGTTAAAGAGGACACGTGAGATCATTATTTGGTTTTGTAATCATAAAAATTGGTCTAATTGATCCCAGAGGTGAGCCCAAAGTGAGATCTTTTTTCAAGTCACATTTATGGTTTATGTTAATCATTTGTTAAGTATTGGGCTTTCAAATAACACCAATATTGTTGGGGCACCATGATTGTGTCAGAAGAAAATCTTTAAAGTTCGCGTCGCGGAAGGTGCGATTTATTTGATGTTGAGTGTAGGTACTAAGTAGTTTTAAAGCACATTTAAAATAGAGTGACCTAGCGTTCATAAATCGTGTACCTGAGCTGACGCCGACGAGGAACCGCGCCAACACCATCCAGTACCTCGCGTAGGGGCGCGTGAGGTGCAGGTTGGCGTAGAGCGCGCTCGCGAGCACGAAGAGCGCGAGCGTGGCGAGCAGCGGCGCGCGCGCCGACGCCGCGCGGTTGGCCCACAGCCCCAACAGCGGCGAGAACAGCAGCTGGCCCAGCGGGTTCGCGCCCACCGCCAGCCCGAGGATCTCCTTCTTCGAACCCGGCTCTAACTGAAGCAATCGAAGAAAACACTGTTAGTCGTATTCTTATTTCTATCAGCCTCTTCCCAGGTAATTTGAAATAGGTACATATATTTTATATATTCATTATTGAATTATACAAAGTCGTATATTAATTAAGCATGAAGTCCGCCTTATGTACCTACATTTGTTTTACGTGCATATAAGTTTAAAATAAATAAATAATAAGTTGGTTATTTCACCAACACATTAACATTAAATTACAATACTATATTTATTTATCATACCTAGATTACGTTTAAATATAACTCAAGCATGTATTTACAGTTAATAAAGATAAGCAAAGCATTGTTTCTTGAGCGTGTTGAACGTCAACTAGCTGATATAGGTACTCGTACCTACTGATGGCTACAATATAACTAGAACAAGTCTTCAGTCTGGTGGCCGGTCGAGAAAGCATAAATTGATTGACTCAATTTCTGAACAGTTATTTGTATGAGTAGTTTGTATGGAAAATCTTGGAAAATTGTGTGTCCGTACAGTAAAATATTATTTAAACTCTTCGCTCTACAGCGGGGTTCTGTTGTGAGCGTAGATCTCAAAAGGTCGCTTAAGTACATGCGTGAATTGTTTCAGTGGCCTCTCATGTCAGCCTTTGTAATCGCGTGTACAGCGCCGCGAGAGGAGGCATTATTGGCTCGTGGTTCGCAGGCTACCATTAGCCACGTCCGGCGCAGTGACTGGCAGCAGTCATTTATCGCTGCCGCTAATTCGGCACAGTTAACGCTTGAGATTAATCCTTCAAGCTCCGCGAATCTAGACACAATAGATAATCAATTGTTATGACATTAATTAATGCCGTCCTGGGACTCAATCGGTTAACTACTATAAATGATTACCTACGCGAATGCTAAACGCAAGGGAGACTGATAGTTAAATCAATAAAATAATAATGATCCGAAATCAATTTTTAGGTGGCGGAATTGCAAATTGAAATACGTACTTTAGGCTTTTATTTTCCTTTGTTATCTTAATCACGTGATGTTGTGTTAAAAAAGTTTTGATTAATGCTATTTAGGACTTCTTGGCAAGACAGTAAAGCACCATGTTTAGCTTTGTTTTATTTTATAAAATTTGTTTACCGCGTTTACCCGCCTAATTAATGTGTTATCATCACAGATTTGGATTAGCTTAATCTGTGGTACCTGGGTACCTAATAATGGTGGATTATTATTCATAAATACTTAGTTCGTGCATGCGCATGATTGTAGACAAAAACAATACATTGCAACATCCCTTTTTTTTTAAAGATCTTTCAAGAAGTCGCAGCCGCGTCAGGTTTCACGTGTAAAGTGCCACATCTTTACTGAAATTCAAGGAAAAGAGAGGATATGATCATTTATAAAGTATTGTCAGTATTTTTATCAAACATCCATCACTCATTTTGATTACTTGAAATGTAGGTAATCAATTTATTTGACACTCTCTGCGGCTAGATGTGCAAACCGCATGAAGCCAATATTAAAACAAAACAAGTTTCACTTATTCACACACAGTTAGCCCGACATTAAGGTATGAAAATATAAAGCATTGACATTTTCATGGACACTGTGTTCACTTGTTCAGGTAACTTTACTTACTTTACAATTTTTCTTTACAAAACATACTTTTATGAATTTAGAAACTGTTCAAGCAAAAGAAAAACAAATTTTCATACCTACTTATGATACTGTAAGAGAACTAAATGTTTGTGCACCTACCTACTGTCAATGACATACCACTATAAAAACATCTTAGCCTACTGTTAAAGAAATTCAAAACAATAGACGAGTCCGCCGCGCGCGCGACCCCTGCCCTCGCGTCCTGCCTCTAGCTAGAGCTAGAGATGAAACGGATATCCGGTAACTATCCGGTAGGCCGGATATCCGGCCTAAATTTACTATCCGGCCGGATACCGGATAGTAACTCACTATCCGGCCGGATACCGGATATTAAAAAACTACGACAATTTCCTATTAATAAAATGAAATACATTAATATTTGAGGTAAACATCAATAAAATGGCATAAAATAATGACGGCTTTTATTTAAAGTCCAAAAAGTTACAAAAAAACCATATATATGTTACGGTTAAAGTGATAAATGTGAAAATTATGAATAATCGCCGGTTATTATGAATAATTACCACATGATTTGGTAAATGTGAATAATATAAGATCATTTATGTGTGTATAAAACTAAATAGGCGGCTTGGGGGGGGCCCAGGGCCCCCCCCCGCCGCACCTTAACCTATTTTTCACTTTAAATCAAAACAATGTGGTATAGGTATTATGGTAAAGTAATGTTACGCAAGAAACAGTCCAAACTCATTTTGCGAAATTGTANATCAATAAAATGGCATAAAATAATGACGGCTTTTATTTAAAGTCCAAAAAGTTACAAAAAAACCATATATATGTTACGGTTAAAGTGATAAATGTGAAAATTATGAATAATCGCCGGTTATTATGAATAATTACCACATGATTTGGTAAATGTGAATAATATAAGATCATTTATGTGTGTATAAAACTAAATAGGCGGCTTAGGGGTGGCCCAAGGGCCACCCCCGCCGCACCTTAACCTATTTTTCACTTTAAATCAAAACAATGTGGTATAGGTATTATGGTAAAGTAATGTTACGCAAGAAACAGTCCAAACTCATTTTGCGAAATTGTATTAATATATGATATCAAAACGTTTAAAGTGTGAGGCTGTACATGAGCGCTGTACACGAGCCGATGTTCTCTTTTATGATATTCGTTAGTACTAAGGATACATTATGAAATAATCACTGATAAATGTGACTTATTTATCACTTTTACCTCCCCTGTCGGTAATTATTCATAATAACCGGCGATTATTCATAATTTTCAATTTATCACATTAACCGTAACATATATATTAATTAAGGCCTTTAAAAAAACTAATTTCTTTTTCTGGGCTATTCACTCTAATGACGAATACATAAATAGTAAATATCTGTTAATGTCGAAATATTGCCAAATAAAATAGGCGATTTTTTTTTCACCGATGGTCTGATGTCATGATGCAGTTCAGTCAGATTATGCAGCAAGTAAACTAATTTAATTTTCGCTATTCAATCACACACTCACGATGGCAACCGAAATCGCCCGAATTGGTCTGCCCCCTAGATAAGTGGCAAAATCTGACATTCTATTCGAACTGATTCGATTTTCGAAGTGCGACTACTCTAGTCTACTAAAAGAACCACTGATCGTGTTCGAAACACCTGTGCGGCGCTAAACTCGTCACGACATGCAACAACACAATGGGGCACAACTATCCGGCCGCCGGATATCCGGCTATCCGGCCTAGCAGCTGGCCGGATATCCGGTATCCGGTATCCGGCCAAACAACTATCCGTTTCATCTCTACTAGAGACACATTTTGATTGTATAGTGCTATTTTTATATTGGATACCATTATAAGTACTTCTGAAACTACTAACCCACTATGGAAAGTAATTTCTGAAATAAAAAATTATTATTATTACATATTTTGTATCTCTCCTGTGGATAAGCACGGCGCAGAGGCCGGTCCTTTTGGAAGGCGTTTATGGGGATACATATTTGAAAAAATATTTACATAAAAGACCATACATTCTCATACAAGGTACTCTTGGATACATAGTTTTATTGCTAACTCTGTAGTTTAATACAAGTGAAATAACAAAGTTCAAAGTCTATTTGAGCAGACTTTTATATAATTATGCGAAATTTGGCACGAATTATACCTTAATTTTAAATAATTATACTTATTATATTTTAAGAACTTTTCTATGACAAAAAATTGTTTCAAGAAATCAACAAGGTAGGTACCTACCTAAATAATATTAGTTTAAATGATCACTACATCCCAACTATATATATATATATAATATTATATAAATATAAATAATATTATAAATGCGAAAGTAACTCTGTCTGTCTGTCTGTCTGTCTGTCTGTCTGTCTGTTACGCTTTCCCGCTTAAACCTCGCAACCGATTTTGATGAAATTTGGCATAGAGATAGTTTGAGTCCCGGGAAAGAACATAGGATAGTTTTTATCCCGGTTTTTGAAACAGGGACGCGCGCGATAAAATTTTTCTGTGACAGACAAAATTCCACGCGGGCGAAGCCGCGGGCGGAAAGCTAGTACTATTATAAAACAAAGTAGCTTTCCTATCTGTCTGTCTGTCCCTATGTAGGTATGTTTAGATCTTCCAAACTACGCAACGGATTTTGATGTGTTTTTTTTTTAATGATAGAGTGATTCAATCAAAAGGAATTTTTAATTATTGTGCGAAGCAAAGGGCGGGTCGCTAGTAAATAATAATTATTTTCGTTCATACTTCGTGAAATTAATTTCTTTGCTATGTATTAGGTGTCTGTTAAAAATTATTTATTTATGTTAGGTACAGGATCTTTTTTTTTTAATTTGTGTAGGTCACTGTATGTGTAAATTAGAGTTGAAAACAAAGGATACTTAATCCTTCAAGGCCCGCGAATCTAGACACAATAGATAATCAATTGTTATGACATTAATGAATGCGGTCTGGGACTCAAGCGGTTAAGTGCCCTATTAGTTTGGTCCAGATTCATTTTGAAAAGTGCTAAGTAATTTTGGTATATTACGTAATTTTATTTTAAACTTGCTAGATAGGTATTCTGTGAATTACATTCCCGCCTAGATAGTGAGCAGTTTCACACAGGTTCATGGCTCAGATCATAGATGATCTGAGGTTCATGGGTACGTTAATGTGAAAATGCCTACGAACTTAAGGTCTGACAAAATCCTCGTTGTAAACGCTCAATAACAATGGGAATATAACGAATTGTTTTCCTCACGCTTTAGATAATTATTCTTGATTGCACGCCACACAAATATGACAACTCCAAGAAAACAAAAATTAAAAACATCAGTAGCTGAGGACTTATGTAGAAGATTCACGTGACTGCAATGTGAACTAGTAAATCCAAAGTTCATTTATTACCAACTCGACAACAAATC